TGCTGCTGCACTCTAGCCTAGGCAACGGAGTGAGACTCCAACTCAAAAAAAAAAAAAAAGAATAAATACACAATTTTTTATAAATAAATTCTGGGGCTTTTTGGATCCCTCTTGTATGTGTTTTATTTTAGTTGGCAGATATTTTTTCCTCCCAAAATGGAATGGTGGATTACATCAGCTTTTACAGAAAATAGTATTTTTTTCCCCAGAAAATAGTATTTATTATTGGAATTGTGTAGGGGGTGCTCTCGAGGGAAAAGTTTTTTTGTGGCTGAATTAGAATAAAGTGATATCTAAATTATGAATGCCTTGGAAGCCATACCAAATGTTGTCTGTGTCCAAAGTAATGTGTGTGTTTATGTTTGTAAACATGTATTCTTTTGGTTAGATTCATGGAAGACTAGCAAACAGAAACATAAATATCAGCACTGCAGTCTGTCTGCCTGTGTGTCCGCATCTTAGAGGCCAAGACGTGTTTCTGCCTATGAGACTGCCCGTCTCTGTTTCTCTGCAGACTGGCGGTGTCTCTGTGTCTTCCTCTTAGCATAAGTACTTCCGGAGTACTATGGAGGGCAGCAGACACCAACCATTCTTAGGCTCAGGCCTGTGTGAGGGAAGCACATGTAGGTCACTATGACTTTCTCTTTTCTGCATTCCCGGTTGCTAAACGGCATAACATTTAGGGATGGGGAAACTTGGCAAGATTAGACAGTGAATCAAATCCTTGAAGAACTTTAAAAGGTATCTGAAAACTTTATCAGGAAGCTTATCATTTTTCCAGTGCTGCTTTTCACAGAGAACAGCAGACAATGAAAAGATGTTATGGCTTGTCGTGGACTCTGACTTGGAGTTATGACCAGGGCAGTTCAGATGACGCTTCGTTCTGTCTCTGTCAGCCGTTTGGCACAGAACGTTTACGTAACTGAATTGTATTTTATTTCTGATGTAGATCTCGTTGGTAAGAAAACCTGTGAAAGGAAGAGGGACGTTTTAGCCATAATTCAAAAGTGAGTTGCTGGTGAGGCTACAGTTCGTTTTTAAAGGATTCAGAGGAAATGAAGCAGTGTCTCATCTGCTGTTGATTAATGAAACGAAACTGTAGTCACTAGAGTACAACAGTGAATGAAAGGTCAGTGAATGGAAAGAACTGTCAGCGAAGGAGGGTGTCAGCAGAGGGGAACCTTGTCATAGATAAAGATCTGGGAGAATGCACTCTTTGGCTGAGGTCATGATTTCTGGAAGTGACTGGGAACCACAGTTTGGGATATTTCAAGCCAAACTGAGAACGAACTGAATGCTCTGATTTGAATGAAATCTCTTAAATATTTAAAAAATATTCATCTATGTGGGCTTGTGCTAGCCATTAGCTGAAAAAGTTTGTGCAAAAGAGGTTTCTTTTCTTCTTATGTGTTGTACAATGTGTTGTTTTAATGGACTTTTCTGTCTTATTTGAGGCTGCACAATGGTTTCTTTCTCAGTTGTTTCTGTTCTGTCTTAGAATTTTCTAGAGCCTCACTCACTTGGGAGGTCCACTGAAGTTAAAGTGATCCAGGGTCACTGCACTCATTAATGGTAGAGATGGATCTACACAACCAGGCTGATGACTCTGTTTATGGTTGCTGCAGAATTGTGTCCCCTCTGAAAGTTGTTCTGTTGGTGGGGGGTGGGTGTGACTGAGAGCCAAGAAGCTTCACTTCCAGCTTGCAACTGGTGATCATGAGCAAAGCAGTGACCCCATTACATTTCAACGAGTTCCTCTGTAAACTTGGTTGTCGGTTTCATGTGAAATACCTTTAAAGAGACACTCATGTTTCTGGTCATGTCAGATGTCCTTTCCTGTCTTCTCCCTCACTGAAGCTTTTGAGCTTATCTAGCTTTGGAGAAGTAAGGCTCTTCCAGCAGTCTGGGAGAGGGCCATGGCCTTGTTAGCCTCGTACTGAGAACTGACAGGGCACAGCTGGCGAGGCCAGGACCTCATTGACATCAGCAAGGCTGACCCTGCCTCCAAGGGAGGATTGAAGGTAACTAACTCCACAGGATTTGGGGAACTAGCTCTTCCAGTTATTACACTGGAATACTGATTCTCAGCTTCTATTTTCTTTCTTTTTTTCTGAGTTGGAGTCTCACTCTGTCGCCCAGACTGGAGTGCAGTGGCCGCTCCCGGCCACTGCAGCCTCGACCTGCTGGGCTCCGGTGATCCTTCCGCCTCAGCCTTCCAAGTAGCCGGAATTACAGGCGCGCGCTACCACGCCTGGATGATTTTTTGATTTATTGTAGAGATGCGGTCTTGCTGCCCAGGCGGTTCTCAAACCCGCGGGCTCAGGCGATCCACTCACCTCAGCCTCCCAAAGGCGCAGGATTACAGGCTGAGCCACCAGGCCCAGCTAGCTTCTATTTTCTTATCTGTAAATGAGAACAGTACTAACGTGCCTCACACAGTTGTTATGAAGATTGAGTATATACTTGTAAAGTGCTTAGAGTAATGCTTGCCACATGGCAAATGTTCAGTACATTCTATGATTACTTATATCATTTATAAGAATGATTACTTATAAATTTAAAATGGAATTTAAGTACCATTTCCTCGGATTCTCTGGTTTCTCTTTCTCTGAGAACATTTCCTGGAATATTGTTTTGTTGGATCTAAATGACAGACCGTCCCAAGAACTGTTTTGGAACCAGAATTGAAAAAAATATATATGAAAACAGTTTTTTAGAGAAACACCAGAGCTATATAAGTTAATAGAAGTTAAAATATAAAGTCATACAATTACAATTAAAATAGCACCATTTTTTATGTTGGGCAGGTATAAAATAAGAAAAGAGTAATGAGAATCTTTAACATTCATGTCATATGAACTACCTTGGGGGAAAAAATTCACCTTAAAAAATTACTGTTATTCAGTTAGAGAGACTAAAAAGAAAAAAACATTAATAGAAACAAAATGATAAATCCTAAAGTGGACACTGACTGACCCTTGTTTTGAGATTATCTTTAGGTTATCCTTGGTATAGGAATTCTAATCAACTCTATTTCAGTAGTTGCAGTGACCCTAGTGTAACATTTTCATGAATTCCACTAGCAATTAGTATGTTTTAGGGGGAATTCCATGGTAAAATACCTCTGGGGAAACTTATTTGACTTAAATAAATCAAACCAGCTTCTATGAAGAGATCTTTTGGAGCCTTTAATATGCTGCTCTGTGCTGTGATGCTCTGGGAGACAGGATATGTAGTATTCTCTTACTTTTGGGGCCAGTATCTGGTCTACCAGCTCCTTGCAGGACACCAGTGCTCTGGAGCACACGGGGAGCAATGTAACTTTAGAAACATTGCTTTTCTCACTCTGTCTCGGATGAATCCTAAGGAAGTGTAGCTAAATGATTAGCTGTAAGGTGAAGAAGACCTCACAGATGATGCTGGGTCCTGAGGGTATGATCACTATTTATAATGAAATGTTCATCACTTGTGACCTATTGAATGTTTACTGTGTGCCAGGCACAACATACTTTAGATGTGTTAACCAGTCCTCTCAGCACCTCTGTGAGGTAGGTCATTGCTTCTGAAAAACTTAACTGCTTTTGAGTTTAAAAAAAAAAAAAAAGTGCAGACAGGTAGTCAGGTTGGAGGCCAGGAATGGCCTCTTGCATTCTGCAGGGGGTGTAGTTGTCAACAGCTCCCTGCCATCCTAGCTTGCTGCGCCGGGACCCTGCTTGGAACCTCGACAGTGGCAACGGGCATCCAGCCGCCTTCTGCTTGAGCTGAATATGATACTGGGCATAATAAGGATTACTCTCCCACCTTGGATGTCGTGCATATTTTGTATGTTTCTTAAAGTGGGAGAAGTCTAGCAGAATGTAACTCAAGGGTATGGTGCTAAGTACTTCAATGAGTTCTCAGGGTTTTCTTTGAGGCTAAATTAAAGAGGTAGAATTGGGGTTGTACTGTCTTCCAATAAGACAACATGTGAATTGTTTTTTAATATTATTAAAAATATGCAGGTATTTCCTAGTCTTATTGGCTCCTGAGTTCAGACTTAGTGAATATTGAGGGTTTGGATAACACGGAATTTGTCTGAACACTTATCAGAATCGGTTTGGTTCTGTGTTTGGATTTGGATAGCAAAGACTATTTAGATTTGAAACCCTGAAGAACTTACTCATTTTTTCTATTCCCAAAGGAGACGAGCGTTCCTCCTTTGGCTACCCGGATTTCTCTCCACTGAGTGGCGGAAATAGTGTGACTTAAGGTTATAGAGCAGGTTATTGTAAGGACAGGACTAGGAAAAAACTGAATTCTTCTGATTTTGAATCTAGGAATCTTGTCACAAGGCCTTCCTGTACCCCAAGTAGTTGGCATCTGCCAGCACTTCTTTGTAGTGCTTAGTGAAAGAAGCAGGAATCTCTAGAAATCAGTGGTAATTATGGGAACCGTGACCAACTGCCCAGGGTATCCCAAGATCTTGTTAAAGAGAGGATGAGAATACTAGTAAGAGCAGGGATGAGTATGTTTGTGATACCTTTGAAATGGAGCATTCATATGGCAAGAAGACTTGAAGAATTTCTAACTCGATCAATTTTATTTTGAAGAAATAACAGCCTCACTTCACATTTTTTATGTACCCATTTTGTTTCTGTGACTGCTTAGCTCGGTTACTTGCTACTGACTTTAATTCCTCTTTATACTCCACAAAAAACATGGGAAATGGGGTGTGGGAGCAAATAGCATAGGCTGTGTGAAGATGAAGAGACGATGTGAGAGACAGAGGAGGCATTTTCAGTGCCTTTGGGGCTTGCACGTCCCTGTTCTAAGCCAAGACTCGCTCCGGGGTCGTTCTTCAGACTTTGCATCAGCAGCTGTGAAAGGAACATGTGGGTACTGGCATCCACTCGGATCTGTGGGGTTTGATTTTTCTGTTTTAAACGGTGTTAGCTGAGTAGTTCACAGAAGGCTGGTTTTTAACTCTGTACCTGGCATAATTTTATAATGTTTATTCTTAGGTGGGTTTGCTGAGTTCTCTCGTTGTTTCCCTGGCCTCTGTGAAGGAAAATCCACTGTAGTCCCTACCTGCATTTCTCAGCCTTGCTTACCTGTTGCCAACATTGGGCCAACCCGAATTCTTCCCAATCTGTATCTTGGCTGCCAGCGAGATGTCCTCAACAAGGTGGGTACTTTGAAAATATCCTTCGTTGCTGGGGTTACTGTTAGCTGAGAAGAGCAACCACCCATACGTCATTTGAAGCAAGCCACAGTCCCAGAAGGGAAGTCCCATTCTCAGCAGAACTCCCAGTTATAGTTGTGTCACCTTTTTAAATGTTCATCTGTTGGATATTATTTATTGCCCCAGGAAACCTAAACTGTTGTCATGTTTGCTTGTCCCTAGCAGGTTCAAGAGATCTGAAATAGGACAGGTTTTTTTTTTAAGACGTTTAGCCTTATTTTCTTTTTTGTTGGTTTATTTGTTTAGGCTTCTCAAGAGTCAAGTTGAGGACCTTATTTTCTTAGGATATGAATTGTTCTTTTGTAGTAATTGGGAACACTTAGGAAGACTAATGCTTCCTAAATTATCTCACATTTAGAAATGGGTTTGTGTTTCTTCTCAAAAAAACAAAGACACGAATCCATTTCCTTAACCTAGTCACGCCCAGATCCCAGAGGCTCACCTCACCCCAGCCAAGTTCCTTTGAAGATGGTTCAAGGGACTGTCACACATCACACAGCCTCATTTCCTGGACCAAATCTGGAGGGAGGACCCCCTGAAGCCCCCGAATCAAGTTGCCCAGGGGATTGTCCCCAGGTGGGGAGAGCAGGGGAGAGAAAATGGTAGCCATTTTTACATTGTTTTGTATAGTGGTTATTGATTCGGAGACAAGCACAAAATTCAGTATAAAATAACTTGGAAAAAAGAAAGAAAGAAAGAAAGAAATGGGTTTGGTTACTGCAGCATACTGGACAGGGATTCAAGTTGGGCTTGGACTGAGGTTGGTCCTCATGATATCCGCTGGCTAGAGGGCTGGGAAAAGGTGGCCAGAAGATGGTGAGGACTAGGACTCAAATACAGAACCCCCAGCCCCGCCTGGCCAAAGCTCTCAGCAGTTTTGGCTGAGAAAGAAGAGGGGAGAGTATGGATTCTTGCTGAAAAGGACACGGATGTACTGAGCACGGCGTGCCCCAGTGGAGGAGCACATTGGACTCTGAGGCCTTTGTGCATGATGGCACAAGCATACCAATGATAGAACTATAATTTGACTCCACAGTTTATGTGCTTTTAACTTGTAGTGCTATGAAACAGTGCTCTTACTGCCTGGAAAAGTGATTTTTTTCTAAAACCTCTTAATTTGCATCGCCACTAATTGGAAAAGTAATCAGAGATCGTAATCCAACTATTGGTGATTTATTAGTGCTACTCTCCTGCATAAAGGGAAGTACCCCCTAACATTTTCTTCTAGAGTGACTGGAAGAATAGGGCTAACTATAAAATAAGCTTCCAGGCTGGCTTTCTTTAGCATATGGAAAGCGAAGAAAAATACCCTGTCATTGGGCAGCTGTGAGGCATTCTTTTTTGTTCTCAAAACTCTTGCCTCTTCAAAATCTGGCCTCAACACTGTTGTTGATACGTCTGCTCTTACTGAGAAATCTGCCTCTTTGAGATTTAATAGCTTATGCTTGTACTGAGCCTTTCTAGTGAGGTCACAGTGTCTTTGAGCATGTGATTATTATTAATTCGCTTTAGAGATAAGCAAACTATGTTACAGAAAGCAAAATTAATTTCCTAAAGTCACATGCATTCCTGGAACAGAACTGGAGATGGCTTATTTAATCCCCAGATCAGAAAATAAAATAAAATCCCTAGTTTAATCCTGGTAAACCTTAACCAGTCAGTCAGCAGGTCATTCCACAAATAAATGTATTATAGATCATTTTTATTATTTTTAACATTAAATTAGGTGGCACTTTAATTTTGCTATATACCTTTTTCAGATTTAACAAATACGTCAGTTAACAACTTTGTGAGAGACTACAAGGTGACAGCAGTTAAACCAGAGTTTGGAGTTAAGGATAAGGAAAAAGAAATTTTCTGGTTTTAATTGGCTTTTAAACATATACAGTCTAGGCTGGGCATGGTGGCTCACACCTGTAATCCCAGCACTTTGGGAAGACAAAGCAGGAGGATAGCTTGAGCCCAGGAGTTCGAGGTCAGCCTGGACCACACAGCAAAATCTCATCTCTACAAAAAAATTTAAAAACTGACCAGGCGTGGTGGCATGTGCCCCTAGTCTCAGCTACTCAGGAGACTGAAGCAGGAGGATCACCTGAGACCGGGAGTTCGAGGTTTCTGTGAGCCTTGTCATGCCACTGACCAAGTGAGCATGACATGGCTGAACGACAAAGTGAGCCTGAAAGACAGCCTGAACGACAAAGTGAGACTCCAACTCAAAACAACAACAACAACAAACATACACAGTATTAAGCGAGATATGTAGATAGATACTTTGAAAGGAAATGTTTGCTGGGGGAGAATGGGTTTGTGGAAGTTTGTGGGACAACATCTTGGGCAAGGAGTTGTTAAGGAAGCCTTGTCAAGAAACTCCTTGAAAATAAATTTGCCGACTAAGGGGTAGTGAGACTGAGATGCACTGGTAGCTGACAGCTTTGAGAGTGGTGGCTGGGCATTTATATTTGACCTCTAGCCTCGTTGACAAGGGCCTGTGTGCTGAGGGGGATTTTAGAGATAATTGAGTCAGCCATTCACATTTGAAACATGAGGAAATCTATATTTCAGTAATGCTCAGTGAATTCCCCAGCATTACCCCGTTGAGTTTTAGCACCAGATTTGCCTTTCTTTCACAGATAGCATAAACTCACAGATCTTCCTGCTCAACTTCCTGTTTTAAACTTTCCAGGAGCAATGCTTCTTTTCTTCCAAAAGATCGCCAGAGATGAAGATTTTATAATTTTCCCTAGCAGTACAGTCTTTTTTTTTTTTTTTTTTTTTTTGAGTTGGAGTCTCACTCTGTCGCCCAGACTGGAGTGCAGTGGCCGCTCCCAGCCACCATAACCTCAACCTACTGGGCTCTGGCGATCCTTCCACCTCAGCCTTCCGTGTAGCCGGAATTACAGGCACGTACTACCATGCCCGGCTGATTTTTTGATTTATTGTAGAGATGAGGTTTCGCCAAGTTGCCCAGGCGGGTCTCGAACCCGCGGGCTCAGGCAATCCACTCACCTCAGTCTCCCAAAGCGCGGGATTACAGACTTAGCCACCGATCCCAGCTAGTACAGTCTTTTAATAAAAATTCAGACGTCGAAGTCTTTAAAAGCAACAAGCGCAAGGCCACTAATTTGATTAGTCTTTCTTTTCTAATGAGCTGCCACCAAAAGTATGTTAAAAGCACATCACAGAAATTTTCTTAGGAGGATCATACTTACCACTCAAAATGCTAGGCTCTTGATATTACTATGTTCAACCCTCATAATAGAATCAGGAGGTAGGTTGGCCCTGAGTAAAGTCACTTACCCTAGATTATGTCATTGGCTTCAGAGCTGTTCAGTGATGAGATCATACAAACCCATGCTGTTCTGATTTGAAGTCCCATGTTTATATGACACCAAAGATACTCATCTTCTGGAAAAAGGAATTCTCCAGAGTAGGCTGGTATGAAGGACTGACGAATCTTAAGTTTGTTGAATCACAATTGAGATTTTCTTTCCCACAGCACCTCCTTTACTAGTACTGTCCGATAGAAAAATCATGCAAGCCACACGCATTGTTTAAAATTCTCCAGTAGCCTTTAGACATAAAAAGAAACAGGTGAAATTAATTTTAATGACGTATTTCACTTGACCCAATATATCTAAAATAATATCGTTTCAATATGTAATCAGTCTATGAAGTTACTGAGCCATGTGTATTGAGTCTTCCTTCTGTACTGTCTTTAAAGTCGGCTCTATATTTCCTACCTAACTGCACAGCTCCATTTGGAACAGTCACATTTCAGGTGCTTGACAGCCACGTGTGGATTGTGCTGCCTTGTTGAAGGGTAGGTCCGTAGTCTCGGCACGTGATCATTTGTACGGATGTTTTAAAGACATGGTTCTTTTGCAGAAGACCATAAGAAGCCACGGGTAGCTAAAGCATCCTTTTATTTTCTTCTTCCCTCACGACTGCACTTCTGTTTCTCACAGCCTGTTCTTTCATCCCCCAGTCTTTGTCCTAGAGTTGAAATGGGAGCAGCTTATTGTGTTAAAAGTCATTTGCTGATGCCCCGTTCATATCTGAAATGAGTGGGATTTGAGAAAGAATCTCTCACTCCTGTGTGGAAGACAAAAGTCCTCGATCGTTTTTCTCCCTTATCACTTAAAATTTCCAATAGGGACTTTTGTTCATGCTTAAATACATGGAGCGTATGAGGGAATTACCTGTTGCCAGCAGTTAGTAAGCCGGAACTGTATCTGAGGTGAACCACTCCAGCCTCTTTTCTAAAGCAGTTCTGTTGCCGGCTTCGTCCCCCATTTAAATAATCTGCTGTCAGCATTCTTTGTGTCGCTTCTTATTTCAGCCTTTTAACATGCAAAATTGGTTTTCCTACACTACCTTATTGTTCTGCCTGCCACCAGAACTACTGCTACTTTGTTATTTTCTTACTGAGAGTTAGGCAGTAACCTTGAAGCAGTACAACCTAATAATGCTTTCAGGGATTCCAAGAGAAATATCTAGGAAGACAAAAGATCATCAAAAATATCAGTAGACGTAATCATTGTGCACTCTGTGGAGAACACCGTAGAGTGTGCAAGTTGGTTGGTTAGACAAGACCCATTCAACAACAATCCCCATAACGGGTGACGACAGTGTCACTCCCAGTACTGAGGCAGCTTTGGGGGTAGACAGTTTTGCCTCCCAGTTCTCTACCTGATCAGCCATGTTGCCTTAGCTGCTACTGAATTTCGGTTTCTTTACCTGCACGCCATAATAATTCCAGCTTCCTAGTGCTCATGTGATGTTCAAATGAAATGGTATATGCCAAGTACCAAGGGTATGCAGAATACTAGGATGAGTGGGAGATACAATGGGTTTTGTTTGAGGAAGGCTTAATGATGTTAAGTAAGACTTGGGGTCAATTTGGAAGACAGATGGAGTTGCAAATGCAAACTTAGTTGTGGAAT